CTGGTGTAGATTTCTTCATGGGTTGGTAAGACATGGGCCACGTCTCCTTACTTGGGAAATTTGAACACATCGTCTCTAACTGAAGGGAGTATTCATCATTATAAAGGAAAGAGACTTCAGTTTAGATTAGCAGATACATTAAGTTGGCAACAAAAGGGCCAATAGATCATAATTAGTGGATTTATCAATTGCCTTTCCCTAGTGACTGGCATTGGCTGCAGAGGTCTTTATCCACCACCCAAGGGCTTCTGAAACATCATCAGCCCCTTGCCCAACCCCAAACATGCAGTGAAAGCCAACAAACAGCACCTGTTTCAAAGAAACTCCACCTGTCCAAATGGAAAATCAAGCATTGAGCCACCTTGCTTCGTCAGAGTATTTGTTTCCAGAGCAGAAGAAACAGACAAAAACAAAAACAAAACAAAAAACAAAACCCAAAACAAAAACCATGTTGTCACTGTAATACAGCCTTTTAACACTCTGTGGGGACCATGGCCTGGCTTCTGCCAAGTAGACTTGGCAAGTTTTAGAAGAACATTTGGCCCTTAGATGTCAGTGCTCTGATCTTCTGTGCTGAAGATGTCTTGGAGGAAACTGGAGCTTGTTCCAAGCAGACTGGAAGGGAGCAAATGCCCCACAGGTGTGGTGAGGTCCGGCTTTAGGGAGAGCAAGTCATGGAGGAAGACTGCCAGGAAGGTCCATTCTCAATGCAAACACAGGCATTAAGCCTGGAGTACGTCTGCCTGTGAGAGCTGCAAAAACCCCACCTTTCACAGGGTTGAAGAGAGGTTCATAATAACACTGGGGGCATACTCAAGCACCTTGCTGTAGTGTAAACACTTCTAAAGAGTTTGCAGCCTTGCTGGTGACTGAACAGTCTTTCAAACAGTATTTCCAATGATTCAGAATAACTTGAAGACAAAATTAAGTCCTCTGCCAGATCATCCTTACATACATACCAGTGCCTTTTCAATGGGTTCAGGAAACACGAGCTACTCCTCTCCTCCTCAAGGGCCACCTCTGTCATGCACATTGGTTTCCTTGGATCAAGGCAGTGGCTCTAAGTTGCTGCAGCAGGCACACGTGTCTGTGGCATTTGGTTTGCCATGACTCTTTGGTGTTTGACCTTGTCTTACTCAGACAGCACTGTTTGGGGCATTTGAGGCAGAGGTGTGATGGAAAACTGGCTTGAGTGAGAAAGAGTATGTGTGTGCGTGCATGTGTGTGTTTCTATTTTCTGCAACCATTCTTCAATGGTATGTTTCGTGGAACCTCTACACTATTGGTTGCTAAACAATGATCCTTTTTACCACATAGTTGAGAAGCAGCATCCCATAGAGGGCAGGAGGCCTTTCTCAGGCTGGACACTTGATGCCTCTTAGGGTAGGGTTACTCTTCTGTTTCTGAGACAGGAGGTATGATGGCCCTTGGTTATGAACAAGTGTGCACTGAGAGAAAGGAGTACTGTGAGAAGATGGGAGAGTATGACCCTTAGTTGGGTATTCTTGACTTGCAAGTCAGTCTTTGGTGATCTGTAGTTAAAACATGTTCCTTTTCATTTTTCTATCTCTTTTTCTCACTCTCTTCAAAATCAATAAATGGCTTGTTAAGTCTTTTATAGAGAGGTAGGCAAAAGAGGTAGGTTTTTTTCCTTTATACAGAGTTGAATTATTTTCATCATTTATTCCAGAAGGAATCTTTGAGCATTCAAAACTCATAAAAGTAGTGTCCTTACTCAAAGAAGCCAGTGCTCAGTGTGTTGAAGTGAGCATTCATCAACACCTTTTGTCTTCAGAGTGGTGAGTGGATGCTCTGGACTCCAAAAGTCTGCTTTTCATTCTGGAACTGATGGTTTTTATTTGGCCTTCATGAATAGGTACAGAAAACCTGGCCTAAGTCCAGTCTCTTGGCTCTAATGATGCTGTTAGTCAAAAAGCCCAGCAGAGCGTTAGAGTAAGTTATAGCCACAGCTCTGAAGTCAGACTGCCTGGGCTTGAATTCTAGCTCTTACCATTTAGCTGTGCCAAACTGATCGGGTCACTTAATTCCATTCCCCTGTTTCCTCACCTGTAAAACGGGGTAATAGTACTTCATAGTGCCACTGCAAAAGTTACATGAAATTGTGCACATACCACACACAGTGTGTGGCACTTAGTAGCCACTCACTCAGTGATGGCTTTTATTTAAGTGGAAGTCATTTGAGTACCAGATGACTTGAGTTTTAGTTTCACATCATTCACATATCTGCTATTTTCTGAGCTATCACCTTGTTCCAGGTAGCTGTGTGTAGGATGGGGTGCCAGAGGTGCTCTATTGATTGGACAAATCATGTCACCTCTCTGTGTCTTGTTTTCTTAATTTCATGTCCAAGTATTTAGGTCAAATGATGCCCCTGACTCAAAAAAACCAGTACATTGTGAACCAGCAGCATCATTGATGTTCCTGGACCTATAAGAACCAATTTTCTACTTTGGATCTCTCTAGGATGAATATTCTGTATGTTTCTGAGATAAAAATCTATTCCTTGCCAAACACTACTGTCTGGGTCCCCTCTGTATCATGCCTTCTAACAAACTTGTACCAAAAGTCTTTAAAGTTCTACCAAGGAAAAATGCGTGATTGCTAAACACCAGGTCATTTGATTTTTTTTCATTACGTCATATTCAACTCTGTCTACATGCCTCCAGATATCTTTATTCTCCTGATTTTTAGACAATTACTTAAAGTTCTTTAATGTATTTTCATTGCAGTTTGAATAAGGACAAACATCCTTAAAAAATCTTTTTCTGCTTCATTCTTCAAGCTCAACTTAACCTTTTCTCCTGTTTATGACCTGTGTTCCAGGAACACCGAGCTTCCTTTTGTTCATCAACTGTGCCATGATGTCTCACCTTAGAATCTTTGCATAGGCTGCCCCTTCTCCTTTGATTATTCTTTCCCCCTGCCACTCCTCACTCCATCTAGGTGACTCCTATTAATCTGTCAGAACTTAGCTGGAAAAAAAATACATCCTCGGACAAGTCTTCCCAGCCACACATCACCCATCCTGCAGACCCAGTTGGATCTCTTTTTTTGGGGGGTGTTCTTGAAATCTTCTCTTTGTTTAGTTGTTCTTCAGTTTCAATGAAATCAGCTGCTGATTTTCATCTATTTATCCTGTTTGGAACTCAATTTTCAAATATGAGGATTTATGTTTTCCATAAAATCTAGAAAATGTCTTTAACATATTGCTTCTACTCTAGCACTCTTGTCTCCATCTGGAACTCATAGCAGTCTGAATTATTTTCTTTTTCATGTCTTTTAACCTCTTTATTATATTTCCTTTTTATCTTTCTAGGTGATATTCTGGGGAATTTTCTCTGATTTTTTTCCCCCCAGTGCACCAATTTTCTCTTCAACTTTATCCAGTTTGCTGTTTAGTTCTTCCACTGAGATCTTATATAAATGACTATATTTTTATTTCTGTAAGTTTTAATGCATACTTTGAAAAATATGTCTGATCTTTAATGAGTGTCTTTTGCTTTCAGAAACACTTTTTATTATTTTTATGTCTTTGCTCATGTAGATTGTCACACAATTTATAACGTTGCTCTGCTTAGGGTAGTCCCAGAATAATTACCTTATGCTTTTTCACTCTGGTTTTGATTTATATATTTATTTTTGGTGCTAGGAATTTCCCAACTTGTATTTAAAAGGTTATTTTTTATATCTTATGCAGCATTTCTAGGTGTTTTATAGTGAGAATTTTGTTCTGCTATATTGTGGGAAGTTTATGTCCTCTAAGTCTCCTATTATAGACTATCCTAGTATCTGTCATAATTGTCATTAAACGTTACACAATAATCATCTGTTTAATGTCTGTCTCCCCTTCTAGAATGCAGCTCCATGGGCACAGGGATTATGTCTATCAAAACTGTAGCTCCAGCGACTAGCCTGGTGCCTAAAACAACGTTGGGGCTTAATATTATTAAGGTGAATGAATAAAGTCAAGACAGAGGTGGCCCTGGATATCAAATAAAGATGGGTTAGAAATCTTTCTCCATCATGTTTTAAACTTTGTTAACCCTTCTTACCCATCCTGAAATGCAACACTTCCTTAATGCAACTTAGTTCTCCTATAATTGACATAATGTCTCATAGGTAACTTCACTGTACTTTTCCAGTGATCTTTTGCTTAGATTATCCCATTTTAATTACAATCACCTCAGAACCAGGAAAGGCTGGGATGATTATCCTTTCTTTACAGATGAGGAAATTGAGGGCTGGGAGATGACATGTTTTACCTTCTGTAAGACAATCAGCAATAAACCCAGAATTAAACCTAGGACTTCTGACTTCAAGTCTGCAAGATTCTTCCTCAGCAATTTAGAGTGAGTATCAGAGCTTTTTAATGTGAAAGTAAAGTCTGATTCTTTGCCAGAGGATTTATGTCTTGCTAAAGAAATCAGTCTGTAAGTAAGAGTAGGCACTACCATTAATTCGATGCCATTAATTAGATGCTATTTCGATTTCCACAGCCAGAGTCTCAGGACCCAAATGACTTGATTTTTCATTTGGACAATGTGTTTGTGGGATTTTTTTGTGTGTAAGACAAACATTATAAATCACCTTTCTGTCAAATAATCCAGGTTGCTGGAGAACCCTGTTCGTGGCCTCATTGGATGCAGAGGTGTCTGGTACAGGATGGGGTGTTACAAATCACAGGACAAAAGCACAAGGTTCATCGAAGTTCAACACACTTGGAGGGGGAAGGTGAGGTGTGGGGAAGGATGCATGGTCAGCGACAGCCACAGCAAGCTGAGGACCCCAGGTCAATTTCCAACCTCAGGGTTGAAGATCTTTGGTGGCTGGAATCTTCCAGGCCCACAGGTGTTGAAGATGAGCCCACTTGTCAGCTTGCATTGTGGTGTTGGAGCCATGTGGCAGACACAGCGGCTTCAATCCTGAGAAAGGGAGTGGAGAGGGAGGGAGTACCAAGGAAGCAAATCTTGGCTACTTACCTCAGGGCGGACCCCTTGGGTGTCGCAATGCCATAGCCTTTGGAATCCAAGTTACCTCCCACCTTCATGGTGTCACAGGGTTTCCGCTGTTCAATGTACTCATTCATGGTAGACTCCAGGAGGTAGGCATATTTGCCTTTAGATTTCCTCACTCGAATCATCCCTTCTTCTGTGGTCCTCACAAAAACGGATGGTTCCGCTGACTTCATGTATGTCCACATCTTCTCAAACACGGCAATTTTAGACCTCTGGCAGGAACAGAAACAAAGCTGGAATGAAGTGCTGGCTATGCTTGGAACTGGGGTCGGCGCACACACTAATGAAGAGCTGAGTGCAGTTTGATCACACATTCATGAGTGAGATTAGCTCAGGAAGAAACAAATTATGAGTGATTGCAAAATAAGAGGCTCTAATTAGTACCAGTAGGTTCCAAAGTACAAATATCTTGCAAATACAGAATGAACAGAGTAGCTCAGAATCTTTTAATTACTCCTGAGTAATTATACTCCTCCCAAACATGGGGAAAGTTAAGAAACTGGAGCCCTGTTTGGCTTTTAAAGACATTGCATAACTTATCTATTGTTCAATAAGACCATATTTATACTGTCCAGAAGAAGCAGAGAGCTAAATATTAGTGGAATCTGATTTCATCATTAGAAGACAACACTGAAGAATTTCGGGATCATAGGATGCCAAGTTCCAGTCATCCCATAAGACCTGCATGCATAATGTAAATTGTCTGATGAAGCTAATAATTTGGTATCAAATATTGCTACCTGTTTATATTTCAAAAGCCTAAAAATCTAGTCAAACTGCCTTTCTCATTTCCTCCTAAACTCAGCCTGGGCCTTCTTTTTGGGAGGACTGTTTACCATACTTGACATGCTGTTTACCATACTTGACATGCTGGTTCTGTCCTCATTTCACAGACCAGAATAAATCCTGTTTTTTAAAATTTTTTTTGAGTTGGAGTCTCACTCTGTCGCCCAGACTGGAGTGCAGTGGCCGCTCCTGGCCACCGCAGCCTTGACCTGCTGGGCTCTGGTGATCCTTCCGCCTCAGCCTTCCGAGTAGCCGGAATTACAGGCGTGCGCTACCATGCCTGGCTAATTTTTTGATTTACTGTAGAGATGAGGTCTCACCTGCCCAGGCGGGTCTCAAACCCACGGGCTCGGGCAATCCACTCACCTCAGCCTCCCAAAGGCGTGGGATTACAGGCTGAGCCACCGAGCCCGGCTAATCCTATGTTTTTGGAGCTCACTTAGGGTCCAAGGGCAATAGTTTCAAAACTCAAGAGGCACCATCATCATGCACAGAGCTGTAAAAATGCAGATTTCCTGGCTCTAAATTGAGGGATTCAGCAGGTCTTGGGTGGTGCTTAGCATACTTGTTATTTGGAAATCCCATTAGGTGATTCTGATCTGTATGGCTTGTGTAACCCTCACTTTGAGAAATGGTGTTGAGAGGGCTGATATTTCTATTGGACACACTGTCTGGGTCACTCCCTTATGTACAGGCTAGGATTGTAACCCATCTCTTCTTGTGTGTAGGTCTTAAGTATGTGGAAGTCACCTGAAGGCAGGGCAGGGAGTGTCTTCCCTTCTGTGGGTATTTCACAGAGTCTAACTGAGTACCTTGCACATAGAAGGCACTTAGTCAGGGCCCATGATCCAGGACCAGAGTCAACTCTCTCATCTAACATGCTCTTTCTAAAGAGCAACCTTTTCCTAAGGGGTAGATGTTTTTTAAGCCTGCTGGAATCTGGCTTTTAAAAAGGTCTTCTAAATGCAAGCATTAAACACTATAGTAGTATTTTTTTAAAAAACAGTTACTGTAAGAGTCTATATAATTGAGTGGTTAATATATAGACTACAGATTTATTTAACATTAGATTATCATTATACATGTCACATATCACATTTCTCTGTGCACAAGTAACAGGTTTATTCTTTTAATATCAATGCACATCAAGTGTTGGTAAGATATGTATATAAACCCATCATTTGAGCCAACTAATCTATAGAGATCTTGGGGTCCAGGAAAATCCTAAGTCTCAAGGGAAAATTAATGGAAATAGTTGCTAATGAAACTTCAGTTTTAATAGTCTACAATGAAGTAAACTAGATAATTTGTTTCACATTATGGATTGCAATTTAGAAAAAACACTAGACTGGGCATGAGGAACCCTGGGTACCAGTCTACTTCTAACTCCAACTTTTTAGTTTGGTCTGTAAAGAATCCCTTCTCTTTTGGCCTTAGTTTCCCTATCTGTTCCCTAAGGAGTTTGGGTATGGTAATTGTTAAGTCCCTTGCTAGCCTGAAGTATCTGATTCTTTACATGAAGATACATCATTCAAGTAACAACATCAATGTGAGAAAGAAGAAGAAAGAGGGGATAAGAGGGAGGGAGGATTCCAAGGTTAGAGTAGGAAATACCCAGAACAAATCTTAGCATCTCCAATGTATTTAATATTCTCTCACAGGAAACAAGAAAATGTATAAATTCAGCTGTGACCAGGTTTGCAGATAATCTTCCAGGCACAAAACCAACAAAACACTCAGCAGGACAATTGCAAGATGCAATTTGACCTGACAGGATGGACACAGCAGGGAGCTGGGCTGTTGACAGGCAGAGCTGAAGAGCCCTCTGGGCAACAGTATGCAGAAAATTAATATGTCCTCTCAGCCTCACCCCAGTGCCCCAAATGCCGAGGCTGTGCTCACAGATGCTCAGAGCGGACTAACAGGGAAATCTAATCTCCAGGAATGCAAAGGTAGCATGAGTGGCAGGCAAGTTTGGAAGCATACTCAGGGCATTTGTTCTTGGATCGCTCCTATCATCTGCAGCTCCCACGGCCCTTCACACATCTTAATTAAGCTGTCGATGGAGGATTAAGTGACTCTGAGTTGGGGCTGCCAAGAAGTTCCAGGCTGCCGTGGGGACCAGAAACCAGATATTTCAGACACCGGAGTAGAGGAATTCTTGTCTCACAATTCCCTCCTTCTGTTTCATGGGGGTGGTGGGTGATCTTATCTCCCCACCCACCAAAGTCCTGGTGGGATAATTCTCAAGGTCAGAGGTCACAGAGATGTAGGGGCACATGCATGGGGCATATCTTGGCAATACTTTTCCTTTTACAGGTAAAGAAAAGGAGGCTCATGGTGTGGCATGATGTGGCACGATGTGGCAATCAACTGTCTAATGTCATTCAGCTTGCTGGTGGCAGAGCCAGGAGTAAAACCCTGGTCTCTTGATTGTACACTTTGTGCCTTTCTGCTGCCTCCAGCTGCCTCCCTCCCTTGTTTTAGGCTTTATATCTCACTAACTGGAGGACCTTGGGCAAGTAATATAACTTTTCTCCTAGCCTCAGTTTTCCTCTTCTGATTATGGCGATAATAGTGGCGCCATGGAGATTATATGAGAACATAGGTAAAATACATAATACAGTGCTTGGCACAAGGAAGCTGTTTCGTAAGTGGTGCAATGAATGCTCATAATCATGCATTTTTGTCAGGTTTTACTTTAGGGTAGGAATGTCCACTACATGCCTGTCTTGGTACCAGTTTCCCTTTGGATATCTATGGCAGGCATTGCTATCAATCAAGAACTTGTTTCACACAGAGCCCAGATGTGACCTCAGAATCTCTGGGTAACTACCACTGACCAAAGTTAGCACATGGACTACAACCTATTTGCTACCAAAGTACCAGGCCTAGGTAGGGCACAGAACTTGTAGAATAGACAATGCTTTGGTTCCAGATTCCCAACTTTGTACTATGGACAAGAACATGAAGTCTTGAGTCCCACTAGCCAGGACATTTTCTCCTCTGGGCCTCAGTTTCCCTGACTAGATAATGGTAGTATTTCGCTAGATTCAGCTGGCATCCTGAGTGATGTTTTTAAAAATGCTATCAGTTTATGACACTACCATATTTGGACAATGTGACTCAGTGGCCAAAATACTTGGGTTGAAAAGAGAAAATTCAGATTTGATACCCACCCTAACACCTGCATAAAGAGTTTCCTGAATCTCAATTTTTTATCCACAAAGTTGTACACAATGATACCTGTTCTGTCTTAGGTCACAGGTGAAACATAAATAAGACCATGGATGTGAAAGTATTTGGTGACTAGCTGGATAAATTATGGGGATGAGAGCAATGTTAAGTGAATTGGGTGGTTCCCCAGCCACATCAGCAGAGGCTGGGGTATTGGACTGGCTTTATGGACAAATGTCAGGTGTCTTCTTCACACTTTGGTTTCAGGCTAAAAATGTCAGAGAACTGTAGTGAGATTCTAAGGAGCTTCCTTACTAACTGGCAGGGTGAGCATAAGCAAATCATGCCTCTCTCTAAAATGACAGGCTCTGACCAGGTGACCATGAGGCACCTTCTTATTGTGAGATGCTGAAAACCAATGATTTTAGCCTTAGAACCAGTATTAGTAAGTTAAGACTTGGTCCCTTTCCTGCCTGTCTACAGAACACAAAGTCCATGATCAACCTGTAGCACATCACATAGTTGCTCGGGGCCTGCAGTTTGCCCATTACAACTACAGTTGCCGTGAGAACTGGGGTGTGTCTGCCTGGGATCCCTACCCTCTTGCCTGAGGCATACAGGGTTTGTTCTCTGCTCCTTCTGCTACTAATTAGCTGTATGACCTTAGGCAATTACTTTTACTTCTCTGCTTCATCTATAAAATGGGGATAATCCCTAAACCATCTCCATTGAAGAGATTAAATGAGATAGATAATTCATGTAGTGTGTGCTCAACACAGGATCTGGTTTATAAGTAGGTGGTAACAACTGTTTATTATTTTTATTTGCTCAATGCTCAATGTACAATTTATCCAACTCCCAGGATAAACACACCCAAAGTCCAGGGAGCTATGTTTATTTATTTTTATTTTTTTTTGCTTCTGGGCATTGTTCAAGTTGTTCCCTTTGCATAGGATATACTTAGGCTACTCAGGTCTGACCTGGCTTTATGACATCTAGAAATGTTTTCAGTTCTTCCCTGTGTGGCTCCAATCCTTATCTCTTCTTCAGGATGACTCCCAAATGCTTCCATTTTCTTGAAGCCCTAATGGTAAATGGTACCTTCATTCACTGTTGCTTGACTTGCCTCTTATTTTACATACCTTATCTCTTTTAATCTCATTAAGACTCTTTGATATGGGCACTATTCCCCTCATTTTATAGAAGAATGGAAATGGTGTCACAGAGGCTAAGTGCACAGAACAAGCAAGGAGTGGAGCTGGGTTCTGGACCTCCATCTGCTGACCCTGCAGCCTGTGCTCCTAAGCCTTTGTTCCTCTGCCTTCGTCCACTGCCTCCCATCAAAAGGCATTTTGCCACCTCTACTCCATCTTCACACTTTCTGAGATATCACCTCTTCCAGTTATTTTTTTTCCATATACTATCTTCTTATTCATAAGTCAACAAACATTCACTGAGATCCTGTATGAGATAGGAGGAACCACAGAGAACATCAGGTCTGGACTTTGTCCAGAAGCTTTTCCTAATCAATTCCTAGACCACAAGGTCTTCATGGGAGCAGAGAGGAAATTATATCTGATGTCCTTTGCAGCCCTCAGAGAATTAGCACAGATTGGTATATGCAAGGGTCTAAATCAATGCAGGAATTTTGAAGCTTCCACAAATGTAGAGATGTAGGTTTCTCAGGGGTTGATAGCTGAGAAATGTCCTGAGTTTCCCTGACTTGCAGTTGGTTAAGCAGTTGCTCTGCTTGCCTGTTATTTCATGCTATATAATGAGAAGGACATTTTAACGACAGTTGTGGTTCCCTTCTATGAAAGTGCCTTGGGACAAGGGATGTCCCTACCCTGAAAAACTCCTTAGTAGATCCTGCTTCCAGCGTCCCGTAAGCAATTTCTGTCTGCTTCGCTAGGTCCTCTGCACTCTCAATGGGAGACACCATCCTCTCCACGGTCAGGAAGGCGGCCAGGTTGGCTGTATATGAGGAAATGATGATCAAGGTGAAGAACCACCAGACGCCACCAACGATGCGACCCGACAGGGACCTGCAGGCCAAAGGGAAGAGGAATCAGATGCATGGACATCAACTACAGAAGGTTATGGGGAGGGGCTGAGAGCTAGCCTGAGCTCCAACAGCGGAGCTGTCAAGCCCTATTACATCCTTCTCCTCTGTCAGAAAGATGTGAGAATTCAAACGTCAGAGATTCCACATTTTGTTCCTTATCACATAGGGACCTGTTCTTCATGGGTGATAAAGTCCACATGCACACATTCACACTCACTTTCACACGTACATATACAGCAAGACACATGCCAATGAAGACAGATATGTCAACACTTGTCCACAAATATCACACACATGTATACACATCCTTTCAAATTCAATTATATGTACGTCAAATGCTTGTGCATACATATATGAATGCAAATGCATTTATATGCATGATAAACACATTTGATTGGTCCTGAAATATTTTCAGATTGCCTTCTTATAATTGCCCTCCTGGCTAACAAAGATCACCAAAATGATGGAGTAGAAGGAAGGGAAGGAAGAATATACTGGAAATAGAAGGAGAACAATCATACTATAGCCACTGTGAAGAATGTTACCACCGTACAGGCATAATTCCTTCCCCTACTCAGCCAAGAAAGAAAATTTGACTAGAATAAAAAGATCAAAAAGACAAATATCATTCATGAGGTAAGAAGTTTATCCTTGAACTTCTCAGAGTCCTATTCTTATCCACCAAAAAATGAAGAGAAACATGACTAGCCAAGGCTTCCACTGTGATCTCTCTTGTATGACTAAAATACTTCCAAGTATAGGGCTTCCCAAAGATACTACAAGATGATTTGACTGTTACATGGGGTGATTACATGTAGTAAACAGGCATGACATCAAGTCATACTGATGAAGAAATTTATATTCCACTTCTCTTTCCTTCCAGACAATTTATCAAGAAAGTGCTATGATGGAACTACTGTCCCTTTAAGCCCTTTCTAATGTGTGCTCTGATAGCCTCAAGATCCGAGCCATCAATAAATAACAGCACTAAACTAAAACCTAATATTTAATAAGCAGAGAAATCACCAATCCAACCCATGAGTTTTACAGACAAAGAAACTCAGGAGTCTTAAATCACACTGTGACTCAGGAGCAGTGCTCAGGCCTGCTGGCTTTCTTGTTGTTCCACACTGCTTTCAAAACCCCGGCCGACCCTGTCTATGTTTTTCCCACATCTCTTGGCACTTCACTTTGTCTCAGTTTCTTGGAGATTCCTTTTCACTCGAGGCAGACAGTATTCACTTCAAAAACTCCTATAAATATTTGTCATTGCTTGCTATGTAGAAAAGAATGCTCCTACACGCTTCAAATTAAAAGGGAAATAGGAGAGAGAAAATTTGTTCAAATGAATGAGATAAGGAGAGTGGAGTAAAGTTATGTCACATGAGGAACAGCTGTAGGAAAAGGGGACATTTATCTAGAAGAAAAATGTATTTCCATGATGATTAGTAATGTTGAACATTTTTTGTCCATTTTAAAATTAAATTGTTAGTATTTTTTTTGCTATTGAGTTGTTTGAGTTTCTTATATATTCTGGGTTATTAACCTCTTGTCAGATGCATAATTTGGAAATATTTTCTCTCATCCTGCAGATCACTTCTTCATTCTGTTGATTGTTTCCTTTATTTCGTAGAAGCTTTTCATTTGATGCAATCTCATTTGCCTGTTTTTGCTTTTGATGCCTGTGGTTTGAGATCCTATCCAAAAAACCCTTGTCGAGACAAATGTCATGAAGTACTTTCCCTATGTTTTAATCTAGTGGTTTCATACTTTTGGATCTTACATTTACATCTTTATTTGGTATTGGTTTTTGTATAGGATGAGAGATGGGGTCTAGTTTATTCTTCTGCATATGGAGATCTAGTTTTCTTAGCACCATTTATTGAAGAGACTGTTCTTTCCCCAATGTGTGCTCTTAACACCTTTATCAAAAGTCAGTTGACCGTGAATGGATTTATTTCTGGACTGTCTATTTTGTTACATTGGTCTGCGTCTGTTTTTATGCCAGTATCATACTGCTTTGATTACTATACTTTTGTAGTATATTTTGAAGTCAGGTAGTGTGATGCCTCAAGCTTTGTTCTTTTTGCTAAAAATTGCTGTGGCTATTTAGAGTCTTTTGTTGTTTCATATAAATTATAAAATCATTTTTCTATTTCTGTGAGGAGTATCATGGTATTTTTATAAGGGTTGCATTGAATCTGTAGATTGTGTTGGATAGTAGGGACATTTTAACAATATTAATTCTTCCAATTCATAAACACTGGATATCTTTCCATTTACTGTGTCCTCCTCAATTTATTTTATCAGTGTTTCATAATTTTCACTATACAGATCCTTTAACTCCTTGATGAAATTCATTCCTAGGTATTTTTTTGTAGCTACTGTAAATGAGATTGTTGTCTTAATTTCTTTTTCAGATAGTGTGCTGTTGGACTATAAAAATGTTACTGATTATGTGTTTTGACTTTATATCCTTTAACTTTGCCGAATTTGTTTATTAGCCTATCATTTTTTTGTGGAGTCTTTAGGGTTTTCTATGTATAAGATATGCCATCTGTAAACAGGGACAATTTGACTTCTTCCTTTCCAATCTGGATGCTCTGTACTTCTTTCTCTTGCCTAAATGCTCGAGCTGGTTCTTCCAGTACAATGTTGAATAGAAATAGTGAGAATGGGCACCCTTGTCTAGTTCCAGATACTAGAGGAAGGCTTTCAACTTTTCCTCATTCAATATCATGTTAGCTGTTGGTTTGTCACATATATCCTTTATTGTGTTGAGATACGTTCATGCTATACTTAATTTCTTGAGAGGTTTTTAATCATAAAGAGGTGTTTAATTTTATCAATTACTTTTTTTTGCATCTATTGAAATGATTAAAACGTTTTTGTTCTTGGTTCTGTTAATGGGATGTATCATGTTTATTGACTGGAATATATTGAACCATACTCATATATTGAACCATACTCATCCCTGGGATGAGTGCTACTTGGTCACAGTGAATGATCTTTTTAATGTGCTGTTGAATTTAGTTGGCTAGCAGTTTTTTGTTTTAATTTTAATTTTTGAGTTGGATTCTTACTCTGCAGTGGCACAATCATGTCTCACCACAGCCTTGACCTCCTGGGCTCAGGTGACCCTTCTGCCTCAGCCTCCCAAGTAGCTGGGATTACAGGTGTGTGGCACCATACCTGGTAACTTTTAAAAATTTATTTAGAGATGTGGTTTAGATGTGGTATTTATTTAGACTATAATGCCAAGGCTAGTCTTAAACTCTTGAGTTCAGACAATCCTCCTACCTTGGCAGCCCAAAGTGCTGAGATTACAGATGTGAGTCATCATGCCTGGTCTTGACTAGTAGTTTATGGAGGATTTTTGCATCTATGTTTATTAGTGATAGCCTGGAGTTCTCTCTTTCTCTCCTCTCTCTCTCTCTCTCTCTCTCTCTCTCTCTCTCTCTCTCTCTCTGTATGTGTGTGTGTGTGTGTGTGTGTGTGTGTGTGTGTGTGTGTGTGTGGTTTTGGTATTAGGGTAATGCTGGACTCAAAAAAAAAAAGAGTTTGGAAGAATATCTTCCCCTTTGATTTTTTTAGGAGAATAGTTTGAGAAGAATTGGCATTATGTCTTCTTTAAATGTTTGCTAGCATTCAGCAGTGAAGCTATCAGGTCATGGGTTTTTCTATAATGAGCAATTTTAAAATTCCTAATTTGTTCCTTTTTGTTGCTCTATTCAGGTTTCCTGATGATTGAGTCTTGCTAGTTATATGTATCCAGGAATTTATCTATTTTTTTCCCTAAGTTTTCTAATTTGTTGGTTTTTTTCATGGTAGTCTTTTATGATCATTTGTGTTTCTGTAGTATCAGTTGCAAGGTCTCTTTTTTCATCTCTGATGTTATTTATTTGAGTCATCTCTCTTTTTTTCTTAGTCTAATTCATGGCTTATTGATTTTATTGATCTTTTCAAAAAAACAATTCTGTTTTGTTGATTTCATTTATTTCTACTCTGATCTTTACAATGTGCCTCGTAGGTTTTGGTATGTTGTATTTCCATGTTCATTTATCTAAAAAATTTAAAAATTTATTTTAAAATTTCTTCATTGATATCTTGGTTGCTCAGGAACATACATGTTGTTTACTTTTGTGTATTAGGATAGTTTCCAAAGTTTCTCTTGCTATTTATTTCTAGTTTTATTCTATTGTGCTTGGTATAATTTTAAGTTTAAAAAATTGTTACTACTTGTTTTTATAATAACATGTGATCCATCCTGGAGAATGTTCCATCTTCAGTTGAGAAGAATGGATATTCTGCAATTGTTGAATGGAATGTTCTGTAAATGTCTGTTAGGTCCATTTCATCTAGAGTTTGGTTAAACTCTGATGCTACTTTTATTTGCTCTCTAGATAATATGCCCATTGCTGAGTATGGGGTGTTGAAGGCTTCTACCATAATTGAATTGCAGTCTATATCTCTCTTTAAGTCTATTGATATTTGCTTTATATTTTTAAGTGCTCTGATGCTGAGTGCAAATATATTTATAATTGTTTTATTCTCTTCCTGTATTGACTCCTTTGTCATTATACAATGGCCATCTTTGCCTCTTTTTACAGTTTTTGGCTTATAGTCTATTTTTTTCTGATATAAGTATAGCTACTGCTGCTCTATTTCTCGCTCTCTCTCTGTTTTCCATTTTTATGGAATATCTTTTGTCATCCCTTCACTTTCAGTTAATGCATTTCCTTACAGGTGAAGTAAGTTTATTGCAAGTGGCATACAGTTGGGTCTTGTTTGTTTGTTTGTTTGTTTATTTATTTATTTTGAGTTGGAGTCTCACTCTGTCGCCCAGACTGGAGTGCGGCCGCTCCCGGCCACCGCAGCCTCGACCTGCTGGGTTCCGGCGATCCTTCCACCTCAGCCTTCCAAGTAGCTGGAATTACAGGCATGCGCTACCACGCCCAGTTGATATTTTTTTGATTTATT